TGTGTGTGTGTGTGTGTGTGTGTGTGTGTGTGTGTGTGTGTGTGTGTGTGTGTGTGTGTGTGTGTGTGTGTGTGTGTGTGTGTGTGTGTGAATATGAGTAAATTACCTTTAGAAAGGTGAAAAGAGGCTCTTCGTTTAGTCCATTCACCTCAACCTTTCCAAAGATTGGAAACTTTGGCACAAACCCACCACCAGGTCTCACATATGTCAAAATACTGAGCATTTCATGATTAACTTCTACAAGAGAGGGATGGAAAAAGTGTGAATTCATGACTTTTTGGATATGACTGTGAATGAAGAAATGGAAATTGCAGGGGAGCTGCCATTGAAAATAGCAGTTTTAGGCAGCAAAAAGCAAATAAAACTATTGTCAATTAATTATTGATGATGGTTGAAGCTTACATGACCCACCATATCATGAAAAACTATAATACTATGAATCATGAAATATTTCCTGTATCCACAAAACAACCATGTCTCAGTTTTTTGTTTCGCAGTCACAATCAAACCGCAGTAACTGATTTTAACTGAATTTGTCCTAATATTTGATATGTAAAACGTAGAGGATTTCAAATGTTTGTTTCAATGTCTACTTACTTGAAAAGATTGGATTTACAAGTAGAATATTATAAAAAAAGTCTAATGTAATTAGAAGACACCTACCAGGTGACTGAAGACCAAACTGGTTGCAAGGGAATCCCAAAACAGTGAAGTTGTGGTTGCCAAACATTTCCATCAGTGCATTCATTCGGTGGTACTGAGGGTGAAGAGAAAATAATAAGCTCTAGTCATCAATTAAACACAACATGTTTTGAAATAATGCAGTCTGACCGCAGTCAAGAATCACCTCCTCTATAGTTGACCCTCAGAAAGTGGCAACATTGACGATGAGAAGCACTTTACCCCTGAAACTGCTGAGTGGAACCTGATGTCCATCCAGAGTCTCAACAGAGAAATCATACACTGATTTATTTTCCATGCTTGTTATTGAGCTTGTTTACAGACTGAAGTCACTCAGGAGTGAGTATTCACTCAGTTATCCTGTTGGCTCATCTCATTCACTGAAACACAAGTCACGGGTCAGCAATTGTTCAGCATGACTGACCACATTGTTCCTCCCTGCAGAGGTGAGCTAGCAGGGTGGCAAACTGTTGGGCTGACTGTTGTATGTAACACATATGTTCCAAGGGGAGTAGCTTAAAAAATGGTTGGTAATAGATATATTCAATGTTAAAAATAAACGTATTTAGGATTCGCAGAAGAATGTGCCCATTTTTGCACCATACTCCAATTTACAATAATTGGACAATAAATAAGTCTGACACTGGTGGCAAAATTCTTATTTCAGCTTTCTCCCCTCTAAATACATTTGACTATTTGTAACAAAAGTGGTCAAGTTATGATTCGAAGACAGGAATAGTCTTTCTCAGGTATACATTTCACTGCAGTTTAACCCACAGAAAACCATGCCCAGTAAATTATTTGCCAAATAAATATGGAACCACAAAGTGTTTGTAATATAATAATATGGGAATTGTCCATAAATAATTTCAAAGAATCGTTTAATCATAATCGGGCCGGGTCAATTTAAACATTGCCTTCTGTACGTTAACTAGCTGCTGCATTCAAATGTTCTCTGTAAATACAATATGCAGCAACTGTGACACCATCAATACAGCTATAAGTACAGACCGGTTTATTTGTGTGAATAAATGATCTTAAAATCAATCATTCGAAGTGTGAAAGTTGCTTCTTTTTTTTCTTTTCTTTTTTTTAGAAAATGACCTTGAATTAACTTTGTGCATGTCTTGAATGCACTAACGATAACTAGAGATAATAATTATATTATTCTCGAATGTACACAGTTGCAATTTCGATGTGATCAGTTGAATATTCTAACAGTTTTTTCGACGTAGCGTAAAGTGTGAGTTGTTCAACATCGTAAAACAATCACCCATTTACAGTTGAACAAATATCATTTCTATAGTCCCTGAATGCGACATTAGGTTTGGGTTACACCTCAATTGCTTCGCAAGATGCCGAGGCAAAATATGCTATTTTGGCACTTATCTGAAGAACCTCTTGTCTTGATAAAAGCTGTGTAACACAATCTGCGTATTATGGACGAAGAAGCTGAGACGCAGACGTAAGTGTTTTACAAGAATTTTTTAAAGGAAATAAACTGGCAGCCCCGGCAGACTAGCTCAACGGCTAACAGCGATAGCTAGGGAGTAAAAACAGCCAGCCGCCGAAATGCAGCGGGACGCGTTTATTTATAGCGACCATCCGACAGCGACAAGGCCAACAGGACAGTATTCATTGCTAATGTAAACTGTTGTTATCCCTGCTATGTAAAGCATTCGTGAACACGTATTTGTGCTAAGCGCTTGATAGGTAGCGTGTAGTATCAAAGTTCAGCTGTAATAACGTTTACACTTCGGCAGATTTCATCTCCTGGACCTGCCCTGGGAGGATGTCCTCGTTCCACATATTTTGTGCTATTTGCCACTGCAACACCTTGTAAACCTGCAAAGGGTTAGCAAGCAGTTCTACAGTCTCATCCAGGTGTACCTGGCCAACTGCAGGACCTTTAACTTTAACTCGCTGGTAAGCCCTTCGCAGCACTAAGATTATTGATATCCTTCACCGTGTGAATCTGTTACGGCTACGTGCTCTCTTCTGATGTTTACAGATAGGACCATGCATTCCCAAGGAGGCATTTTGCTCCATGTTAAAGGATAACAAAGTTCTGCAGAATCTGTCGCTGCAGAACTGCTCAGACTGGGTGAGTGACAAAGAACTGCTGCCGGTCATCGGTCAGAACCAGCACCTGCACAGAGTGGACATGAGCGGCTGCACCTGCCTCACCCGCCACTCCCTGGTGGCCGTGTCCTTGAGCTGCATGCATCTCCAGCACGTTGGCCTGGCACACTGCGAGTGGGTGGACAGACTGTCGCTGCGCAGCCTGGCCGACCACTGCGGGGGTCTGCTGTCCATCGACCTCACCGCTTGCCGCCAGCTGAAGGACGACGCCATCTGCTACCTGGCCAAAAAGTGTTTGCAGTTGAAGTCTTTATCGTTGGCGGTCAATGCCAACATCACGGACGAGTCGGTAGAGGAGGTGGCCAAGAACTGCAGGGGCCTGGAGCAGCTGGACCTGACAGGCTGCCTGCGGGTCAGGAACCAGTCAATCAGGTATCTTTTATTTTATTTCCTGTGGTATTCCGACTGACTTTGTGTCATCTCCATGCACATTTTGACATGCGCAGCCTCCCTCGTTCAGCCATGCATGAGAGCTTGTGCTTGCTGTGCTCACAGGACTCTTGCAGAGTATTGCCCAAAGCTGCAATCCCTAAAGGTGAATCACTGTCACAATGTGACAGAGTCGAGCCTCGACCCTCTGCGGAAACGGAATGTGGTGATAGACGTAGAACCACCTTTACAGAGGGCGCTGGTGCTTCTCCAGGACGTACTGGGCTTTGCTCCCTTTATTAATCTTCAGATATAGTAAGTGGGAACGTTTCCTGCCTGCAAAGGCCACAGACGTGTGTGAGACCAGCAGTGCTTTGAGTTTGTGACTTTTTTGTGACAATCACTCACATTCAGTGAATTTACCACTTGCTTGATTTGATGAGGTTAATGTTGATCCTTTGTTTTCATGATTTAATTTCTTACTTTTTTATTCCTGTGTTTCAGGCCACTTTATTATGGCAGTCACTTTATTCTGCATAACATGGACACTTTTGCTCAGAGGAATGTCTCAACACTTCAAGAAGACGAGGATGTATTTTCCACACATTTTGGTGGCAAAACTGTGGACAAAAAATACTCATCGGAACTTGGTGAATGATGGATATTTAAAATGTGTAACCGTGCACGAGTTATTCTTTGCAAATCAAAGAAGAAAGCCATTTACTTTTAAACTTTGTTGCTTCAAAACCAAATTCTGTCTGTGCAGTATTTCTTTATTATTTTTTTGTAAAATGTGGAAAGGAAAAAAACCAAAGTAATAACAAGTAATAACATGAAAAATAAGTTTTGAGTTTAGTTGAACTTTTTGTCAGTGTGCTTAACAGTGTGCTGAAAATACTTATTTTAATCAAATTGCACATTCTGCTATGCCAATACTGTCTTTTTCCTTTTACCAGGCTTGTTTTTTCTCCCCCACCAAGATCTGTTCTGCCACTCACAGACATCAGAGGTCAATGCATAGCTGTTTGTACTGCTGCCTACATGCTTTCCAAAAACTAAGTTGTTACGTTCCTGTTGTCTGATTTAAAAATTTTGAGCTAAAACTGAGACCATTTACCAAATTAGGAGCATCCAGACATAAGTTAATGATAATCTCATGGATGTGGATGAATGAACCCTTAAATCCAAATTATCTGCAAATGCACAACATTAGTACTTGAAATGATAATTTATTAAGAATGTTTCCTGCTGGGTTGATACATATATTTTGTAAGACAACAAAAATACCTTTTTGAATAGCTGCCGTCCTGTAATGATGCGGAAATATTAAACTATAACATGACACCAGAAATGACTGTTGTGAGTTTTCTGCGGGTGGAGAGCCTAGTAACACTTATACTTCTGTTTTTGATGACCTCACATCTTGATTGATGAATAAAGTGTTTCCTATTACACATTTGTTACAGGGTTCTATAATGAACAAGTTTAGAAAAAGATAGATTTAGCAAAAGGTATTTAGATTTCATAATTTCCAAACATGAAGTATTTACAGTTTGGCTTGAAAAAATGTCGGCAAATCACTTTTGGCACAATTATGATGCCTTGTCTGTCTGCAGTCCATTAACCCATTACAATGGCAGCTAGGAGTTATTTACACAGTTATTTAGTGTCTTTAAGAGCAGAAGTGCGGTGGTTTGTCCCAAACCTATTTGAGATTTTTGTTACTTCTAATTTAAAACCAGTACACTTATTCATAGAGACTTTTGAAACACTGTCAATTCACCGTTGATACATTGTAAATTGAAAACAAGTCTGAAAACGTGTTTTCAACACGAGCAAAAAATTGCATTCAGCTTCGTAAACTCAGAGATTCAATTTATGTGTAATCTGATGGAAAAAGCTTAGTCCTGTAATTAACGCTGTTGTAATCTGTGAGAGGCTACTGTCAAAGAGGCTTTGTTGAGGAGGAGCTTTAAGACCCTAACTAACACAAGGTGGCAGCAATGAGTTATGATTTGTTGGTTTGAAGCATGGTTGGGAGTATAAAACATACAGATGAGTGATAAATCAATTTTGAATTTGTACTGATATGTCAACAATATGTAAAATGATATATATTTTTTAGAAAAACATTTTTTTTAAAAATATAGTCAATGACCAGTTAAGCAGATAGAAAATTGAGAACATAAGCCTGATGATCTTGTTATCACCTGAAGGAGAGGATCCACAATAGGAATTAATGTCCCCCCTTGCTGCCACAGCTTCTTACAGTTTCCTCTGGTGGTCCACTTGGCAGACTATATTGTGTCTTTTCTCTGTGACAACACAACAGGTCTATTTTCCACATGATGGCATGGTTTACCCCATCTGCTGTGTGCTGTCCACAAGCTGAATTTGCACCGTGAGAGTTGTGTTTGGAGGGCTTCTGGGATCGACTGGCATCCTTCTGTCGGCTGTGCTGATCATCATATTGTACCGCTGTCCCTCACAGGAGGCTTCACTGTGTCGTAACTTATAAAGTATATCTTGAAATTTCAATTCATGCTCCATATGGTGCATTTAATGAAACTCAGCAAGATTATTCCAACACTTTCAGTCAGTTTAGCATTGCCAGTTGTGTATATGACTTTTATTTTATGTAACAGTGGTGCAAAATACTTTAAATCATTCAGCAGAGGCCCACCAGTTGGACATCCTTGTTGCTGTGCAGCAGTCTGTGGGTTAAAAACATTCAGACCACATTCATCATGTAGGACCTCAATTAGCATTGATCTGCAGGAGGGAAAAGAAACATTGATGCAATATTATATTCCAAGGAGCAAATTTCTGTTCCAGTGATTGAGTGTATGGGGGGATTTCTCAAACATCGTCAGCCAAACATATTTTGTCTTCCTGTCAATAAACTGGCACTTGTCTAAATTATTGATCAATAGCAACTGATCATTTTATACCAAGACACTACGATGAAGTTGCTTCATTCTATTCACGATGCAGTTTTAGCTCCTGGCACTGTGTAATATTAAAATAAGGAATAAATCTAACTTTAATCTCTGGCTGCTTACTAAATCCCTTGCTGACAGAGTAACTTACAGATGCTGTCCAGGGGCTTATGAGTTCTTTTATGCGTATTGTTGCAGCAGGTTCACATTACAAAGACGAAGCAAGTTTTTATCATAGCAGACATAAAATACACACGGGCAAATACTAATAACATTAATAATGGCTCGATTTTGTTTAAGCATCACAGTAAGGTACTCAGTAGGATGGGGTCTGGCTCATCTGTTTTATTTTTGTAAAAGCAAAGACTTCGCACAAGTTTTTGATCAAATAAGAAAAATCCCCTATTAAATCTATAATTTAAAAAAGAGATAAGCCTTCCTTTTATTGGATGAAACAAACTTTTTGTCCAAAAGTCATAGTCAGTGTGACACAAAGATCAAAACGGCCTCACTGTAATTTTTGTTTTTAAGGGTGAGTTTTGTGCAAAAATAGAGTCAGAGTGAACTAATGTGCACCTGTATGCAGAAACTGCAGCCAGTCTGGTTTAAATGCTCTGATCAAAGTCCTGACTCATATATATCAATATTCAGCTATTTTGAAAGATAATCACTTTTTACTTTAATTAAGGAGAAATCAGGATTTAGCTTCACTCTGGGCCTCCCTTTAGTTTTGCTCTGACCTTCCTCAGCCTTAATTGTCCACTGTTGTTTTTGTGTCGGGATGTGATTTTGTCTCTGTTTTCCCTGTGATAAACTGGCCTGTCCACGTCTGGTTATATCCTGCCTCTCCAAATGCAGGCTGAGATAAGCACCCCGCCCCTCCTCCTGAGACCTCTCAGTGGATGAATATGATAGTTATGGATGGATGTTTGCTCCTTTTTCTGTGAAATCTTTAATTTAAAAAAGGGGCACACTGCTTCTCCGGAACCAACAACAATGACACAAAATTCCACAAATGTGTACGCAGGAAAGGACTTTAGTGAAACTTGCAAGAGAAAACCCCAAAAATTTGCAATAGCGGACAGTTTTCAGTGACATCGCTGTTAATGTGCTTTGAAGTCCTTTTATTAAATACAAATTATTTACTATGAATGGAATTATGAGGAAGTGTGCGTTTAAAAAAATGTAGATTTATATTTTGTATACATCTCTTTTGGCACTTCCTTACAGTAACTAAACTTCATTTATACAGTTTAACTTTGCTTCTTATCAGTGCACAGCTTTTAAATTTTTGTCAAGCTGTGGAGAAAATTTGATTAGTAAAATCAAAAGAAATAAAATCAGTCTGGGAGCAGTTTTTAAGCAACATTAATCAACTCAATAATAGAATAAATAACTGTTTTGCTATTTATATGAATTCAAAAATACTATTTTTGTCTGTGATCATGAAAAACAGATCCTGCTCAAGACAAATAATCAGAAATGGGCTTAGGATAGTTTTCGACTCTCTTCTAATTAACTGAAGTTCATATGAAGTGAAGAGAGAATTAACGTAGCTGTTCAGATGGGCCCAAAACTGTGTCAGAGATTTTGTTCATTTTCATATTTTTAATTAAGCGGCTTTCCCCTTCGTCTTCCATCAGTTCTTTCATTTATTTGATGTAGTTTATCTGCTCCAGCCATTCATATACAACCTTATTGGATCCTGGGATTTAAGGATCCATCTTTTGGCCACCAGAGAAGCATAACTAATGACAACATTACAGTGCCTTTGTGAGCGTAGGCATAAAAATGTCGATCAACCAAGCAGGAAATAATGTTGGATTTTAAAATCAACATGAATAAACAAGTGTGTTTAGCATCTGTGGGGCCCGGTTTAGACTGATTCTGTGGAGATGTACTTGTGGAAGGTGTTGATGACCCTCTTCGTTGTTCATATGTCTATCAGGGAAATTAGGCTATAATAGAAAATAAATAGAAAAAAAGGTTGCAATGCTGAACATTAGGGCTGGGACAGTTATACTGTGGCATGATTGACAAAACCACAGATAAGACATCCTCTGTGTTTGTGTAATTTCAGCTCATTCTCAGCTCATTTTTGAAGGATTACGGTGATTGATTTTATTAGAATTTTTTAAAATATTGCTAATTTATGAATGTACAGGAAGCATGACAGCAGCAAGTTGGAAATGGCTTACTTTTTGTCTTTTTTAATGTGAATGTATCTTTTTTTAATAAACAGAGCTGAAGTGACAGTGCCCTTCATCACATGAATGTAGAATGACTTTTTGGGAAAAACAACGTATTCTTATGCTTATCCCCCCCAGAAAATATAAGAATATATAAAGTATATAAAGTCTAGATTTTGTCAGTTGTTCAGGTTTACACTTTCTCAAAAGAATAAACATCAGTCCCTTCTATCTGCCAGTCATGACACACTCCCCCGTGGTGATAAAAAAATGAAAAATTGTAATATATCCTCTTCAACCATTCTAAATTTTGGGGTCTTACTCTGGTCATTGACTGGAATTTGAAGAGTTCAGTCAGCTTTTCTCACACACCAACAATGTTCCTATTATTTCCTATTACTATCATTAGGATGGATAGAGACATGGACAAATGTGCTAGTCACCTGCAAAATTCAGTAGTACAGCATCCCAATTACTAAAAATAAGTTTAAAAACTCTGTTTTCAAATGAAAACTAGGCAGTGTGTCACTCCTTGATATTCTCTAGAGGCTCAGATAAGGACAGAATATATTCAGAGCTGCTACACTAGGCCTCTGTTAGTACAGACCCATTTAAGCACATTTTAAAAAAAGGTTTCCAGTTCTATATTAACTGATTCATGTGCTAGTTGTCACAGCATTGCTTCCTGAGTAGGTGAAGGTCACAGATAATGATAGAAACAGCGATGATATAGTCTCTGCACTTACTCCGTTACCATCTCACAGAACATGAAAAGCCTTTGAAACATCAGTGTCACTGAAATGTAGTCGGAGTTAACATTGCACTTACCATGTAGCCTGGTTGTCAGGTTTAAAAGTATTAAAGTATTGAAAGCTGTAAAT